AAGATCTGGGGATGGAACCCAGGGGCTCAGACATGCCAAGCAGAGATCACAACTGCTGAGCCACACCAGCAGCCCCACCAACTGGCTTTTACCCGGGCTACCATAAGGGCAGGCTTTGCTGCCTGCATTCCTGCACTCCCAACCCCCAGGGTTCTTTCTGGGCTGAGGTTCCCCTTATGACCACCTGGGGCGCCTTGCCCAGCCTTGTGTCCAAAGGCCCTGACTTCACAGGTTTTGTTTATCCTCTGGGCTGACTCATTTCCTGGCTGTTTGGGTGAAATAGGAGAATGAGGGAAGGTGGGAAGGAGATAATGGAGTCCATAATGTTGTGCCAGGTTGGGGCAGAGCCGGCAGGACCAACCCAAGAAGCTGTGATAATTTCGATGCAAACGCAAGGTTTCTCATTGTGTTCAAGCTGGCTTGTTTTGGATCTCAGTCTATGATGGGGGAATGAGATGCTAACCAGCCATATAGCGGAGCTTTGTAAAGGGGAAGACCGTGAGGTTGAAGGCCACACATTCCAGAGTTTCCATGGCTAGTTAAGGTCATACAAAGGACAGAGTAAAACAAAAGTATATATTTTTTAAGCAAGATACATTTGAGAAAGATAAGACAGGTCATGCGGGTTGCAGAGTTACCAGGTCAAGCAGGGTCTGTCAGTTTTTCCCTGGGCTGAGGGATCTTTACAACCATCAGGGGACTTTATGACCAGCAGTAGAAGACTTAGGAATGTTGACATAAGTGGTGGCCAGTCACCTCCCCTTCTTTGAGATGACACTCCTGATTAAGGGAGTTAAATTCTTCCTTTACCATTAGAATTTCCCTTTCTCTGTATAGATTTAGGGCCCAAGTTTTTAAACTTTTATTAATTTTAATTTTTGTTTCATCAATGAGGTGCTTTATCCTGGCCAAACAGGTGTCTCTGCATTTCAGATCACCAAGAAATCTCACAACAATCTCATTGCATTTCCCCTGAGGGGATGCTTGAGGGAGGGGGGGCAAAGGATAGGCCACATTTACACCCCCTCTTAGGAAGTGGGAAGTCAAAGGAGCTTGAAACAACTCCCAGATGGAATTCCCCAAGAGGCCCCTGGGCTGGGATATTAGGTCTTCCCTCTTCTGTGGAGCGCTTTCCTGATTCTGCTTTGTTTTTCTTTTTCCTTAGGGAGTAAGGGCCATTCACAAGTCCAAAGCCTTGCACCCAGTTGATTTCCTGGTCTGACAACAAACGTAAAATGTCTTTGCCAAAGTGAGCCTTGTGTGTGGAACTCCTATGGCACAAATCCTTTGCTTTCTCCTGGTAGAAAAGAATGCTTAGGAGAGCTAGAAAGATGGCTCAGCAATGAAGAATGCTGACTGCTCCTTCAGAGACCAAGGTTGAGCTCAGCAACACAAAGTGGTTCACAACCATCTGCAACTCCAATTTCCAGTTTGTGAGGGCTCTGTATTGAACGCCTAGACCCTGCTTTGGCAGCCATGATAGGCCACAGAAAAGTCTAGACTCCTGACTGGAATCTTTTCTCCCCTACCTTTGCCCTAATTACTAGAAGAAACTGCCAGATATCCTCCAAGTTGTGGGCTTTGGCTGTACTTTACTGATAATAATGGATGCAGTAGGTAGCATTGGACCTCGCATGGCCTCCCGGACATAGCAAGCAACCTTCAGCAGCTCAGTTGACCAAGCAACTCAGACAGGTTCTCCCAGTCCAGAGTTGCACCAATCCTGAGACTGTTACTATGCAACTAATAGATCCACCGGATACCACTCTTACTCTGCCCCCAATTCCAGGATGTAAGGGGTGGAGAAAGAAAAGACCAGGGAGTTTAAACTGCATCCCAGTGAGCTAGAGGCTAGCCTGGGATACACAAACCTTGCCTAAATAATTTAAAATTATGTGTGGCTAGGCAGTGGTAGTGCATGTCTTTAATCCCAGACCTCAGGAGGCAGTGGCAGCTTGATCTACAGAGTGAGTTCTAGGACAGCTAGGACTACACAGAGAACCCTGTCCCCCAAAGTAAAAAATAAATAAATACAATAATAACCATAAAAATAATTATAATGTGCTCTTTGTGTGTGGGGTGGGATGTGGGGTGGGAGATCGCATGAGGTGGCTCAGTGGTTAAGAGCTCTGGATGCTCATCCAAATATTGAGGTTCTGTTTGCAGCAGCCACGTTGTGACTCACAGCTCTGTCTGTAACTCCAATCCCAGGGAATATGACAAGGTCTTCTGGCCATTTTGGGTACCAGGCACATATACTCTGTGCTCAGGTATACACTCAGGGTAAACTCAAACACACATAAAAATATATGTGTAATTATTTTTCAAGTTTTCTAAAACTATTGTTAGGGGTGGATATTTGCCTGCCTGCATGTAGGAAAGTATACCACAGTCATGCAGTTCCCACTGAGAGCAGAAGAAGGCATCATATCTTTGTTTGGACTAGAGTTTAGGCCCTTAGGAGCTGCCACTTGTGCTGGTAAAGTCATGTTGGTCCTCTGCAAGATTGGCAAGAGCTATCAATTGATGAATCATCTCCCCAGCTGTTGAACCCTCTGTCTCCATTTTAGACTTGAAAGCTATTTTATAGTAAAGACAAAGTAGGTTCATTCTTTTTTATGATTAAATCTCTGTTTCTCATGTATTGGGCTATGTCCCACCTGTAAGTACCATCCTACTAGACTGTAATGCATGTTTAATGTTTTTTCTATTTGTGTTTCAAATTAATTTATTCTTTGAGGCAGGATCTCTTACTGACCTTCACTCATTCTGTTAGGATTCCCATTTAGTGAATTCCAAAAACAATTAAAAAATTAAAAGCTCATTGCCTCTAAAAGTAGATTTGTTAAAAATTTCATTCTTATATTCTATGTCTTTAGAAATTGTGATATATTTAGAAAGGCCTTGTCAAGCTTTCAGAAAATTACATATAATTTCTTTCTTTTTTTGTTACTTTGAGATAAGGTCTCTCTTTGCAGCCCTGGCTATGCTAGAACTCACTCTGTCACGAGGCTGCCCTCAAACTCACAGATCTCGTGCCTCTGCCTCCTGAGTCCTGGGATTAAAGGCGTGTGTCAACACTACCACAGCCTTTTCATTTTTCTTTCTTTATTTTTTTAAGATTTATTTATTTATTATGTATAAAGCATTCTATCTCATGTATGCCTGCAGGCCAGAAGAGGGCAGCAGATCTCAGTACAGATGGTTTCTGGAAGTGAACTCAGGACCTCTGGAAGAGCAGTCAGTACTCTTAAACTCTGAGCCATCTCTTCAGCCTTCATTTTTTCTTTCTTTCTAAGACATGGTTTCACTACACTGCTGGGGCTGTCTTAGAAATGGCCATCCTTTTGCCTCAGCCTCCCAAGTGTCGTAACAACAGGTGGACATCGCTATGCTTATTCAAACTGTATTACAATGTTGTCATGGACATAGATTCTAAAAGGACTGGACTTCATGTTAATAAATTACACAAGACATTAAAATGGCATTCTAACCCTGTGCTTATCAGCTGAGTTCATTTCATATCCCAGGGGACAACGGGGCCACTGCTGGGTATATTTTTGGTGGATACAATCAGGAGCGTGGTCTGGGCATGCAGGAAATACAGGATGCTTCTATATTCCTTGCAATGCTCAGGATGATTTTATAGACTATAACAGAAAAAAGAGAAATGCAAGTCAACATTGGCATATGACTACAGGGCAGATGCACTAGAGAAACTAGGGCTGGCTTACCCTAAGATTATTTCTAGGGAATCTGAAGTGGAAAGACCCAAGTCCAAAACCATCTTGAGCTATACAGGGACACCTATGATGGTATAATTATTTATGGTTTATTAAAATTTGCCTAAGTATTCAGAAAGCAACACCAGCCTCAAGCTATAGAGATCAAGCAATGATGATCCACAACTTTAATCCCAGGACTCAGGATTAAGAAGTAGATGGATCTCTGTTAGTTCAAGGCCACAATGACTACATGAAATTGATCCAGTCCTAAAATAAGCAGCGTATACAAAGATGATCTTAGCACCTGGGGTCACATGCCTTTGAGTCTAGCATTAGGTAGGTTATAAGACAGGACCAGGGTCTCAGAGCTGGCATTCAGCTTGAGTTAGTCTCTAGCCATGGTTGAGGAGATCATAGTAGTCTGAATGAATCTGAGGAGCATTGAAGTCAGGAGCAGTTTAGAGTTGGCATGAGCTGGGGGTAGAGGTAGAGCTGGTGGCTACTGCTTTGCTTTTCTGATCTTTAGCTTGAAGCTTGAACTCCAATATCTGTCTCTGGGTCTTTTATTTGTTGTGCTACAGACACTTATCTCAAAAACAAAACAGTGTGGGCTGGAGAGGTTACTCCATGGTTAAGAGCACTGATTGCTCTTTAGGGGTCTGAGTTCAATTTCCAGCAATGGCATGATGGCTCCCAACCATCTGTAATGAGATCTGGTGCCCTCTTCTGGCCTGCAGGTATACATGCAGACAGAGCACTGTATACATATTAAATAAACCTTTAAATACAAACAAACAAAAGCAGTGAGCCAGAAGATGGCTCAGTCCCATAGAGTTCTTGCTGCTCTTTCAGAGGATCCAAGTTTGTGACCCAGCACCCTCCCCCAGAGTAGTGGCAACAGCCGCCAACTCCAGATCCAGGGGAACCAATGCCCTCATGTAGGACCAATGCATCTTTGTAGGCACACCCACCCAGCACACAATAGGAATAAAAACAAACCTTTAAAGCAAAACAAAAGAAAAAATAAATTATTATGCAAATGCCTTTATTTGAACTACTATGTTGCTACCAGATTACATCACTTTTCAGTGTTAGATTAACATATGATCTTGGAACTACAGCAAAAAGCTTGACAAAGCAAGAGAACATCAAGTCCGACACACATACTTTCCCTTTTTTTGTGACCACATCTGCTTTGTCATGTGAGCCAACCTCAAAACTGTGTACACTTAGTATACTTTGCTTATTGAGTCCCCATCTAAATTCTGAGCTCACTCTCTCCTCAAAAGGGTCATATTCAACAGCATTTTAGATCAAAAAGAAGTTTTGTGATAAAGTTTTCAAAACAAAGAAGCATGTGTCGAACTGACTCTTTGAAGACAAAATATTTAATTTGATTTGATCCTGGCTGTGAGAGGAGAAATACAATCTTAGGGTCCATTTCCTCCCACCCCATATAGTTATGCTCTTTACTTACTTGGGATTCCACTTCAAAAAAGTAGCAAATCAGCAGACTTGTTGATCATAATCAAAATAGTCTTAAATGTACAAAAATAATCATATAAAAGAATACTTTGTAAAAAGATACTGATTTTTAAAATAAAAGAATGAGAAAAGCTTCTAGTACATTCTGCACATCAGTTACTTGAGCAGATTTTCATCACTACAAAGTAAAGCAAGGACACTCATCTCCATATGGTATCTGACCACGTTCTCAGTAAGAACTTGGAAAGCAAAATGGCAAGCTAATACTATTTACTTATCTACCTATCTAAGCAAGTCACAAAAGAGCTGGACATCCTAAAGTGAAAAGATACACAGAGGTAATACACAGCATCAGGAAATGTCAGAGGCAGTATTCTGGGAGGAGAGAGAGCAGAAGGTCGGCTGTGAGCATGTTCAGGTGTGCTGAACAGATCCAACTGGAAGGAAAGGAGTTGCTTGTTTCTAAATCTCTCTTTCCCCGAAGGATGTCATGATGAGCTAGTCTTGTTAATCAAAAATAAAAGTCCTTTAAGTGACCGAGAATTCTTTAAGCGGTGAGCACTTGACCTGGGAATAACTGACTTGCCAATCATGCTGCCCAGGTAAGGATGGTTCTATTCAGATTGGTTATTTACACTCTCTTCCTCCCTGCCCATCAAACATATGCAAAACACGGTCATGACCATCTTGGGTTTCACTTCCACAAGGTCTTCAGAGAGAGGCGTCATACTCTGGCTCAATTCTTCTGGCCATTGACACTGCATACCTAGTTTTGAGGAGACAAAAAATCAAAATGAGCTTTTCTTTGTCAAGGGTACCTATGAATATTTTTAAGGACTCATTTATTTTATGTGCTTTGGTGTTTTTGCCTGCATGTATGTCTGTGTGAGGTGTCGGATTCCTGAAACTGAAGTATGAAAGCTGTGAGCTGTCCTGTGGAGGTGCTGGGACCTAAGCCTAGGTTCTCTAGAAGAACAGCCAATGAATGCTCTTAACCACTGACCCATGTCTCCAGCCCCAAGAACACCATCTATTTCTTTGTAATCTAGTGGCTGGGATGCAAAATTTTTGTATTGAAAGTACAAATCCAGAGAACCTGCATATTGTACATGATTATAATTCTATAACCCTAGCACTGTGGAGACAGATGTTGAGGTCAAGGGTCCCTGTAAGTTTGAAAGCATGAGAACTCCACAATGAGACATTATTTCAGAAAACAGAAAAGTACCAATTAATAATTCCTACTTATTTTCTGTTTTATTTTTATTTAAATTGATTTTCAACTTTATAGAGGAAATAAAAAACATGAGCCATTTATTTTATTTTATGTACAAGAGTGTTTTCTCTTTATGCAAATATGGATGCCACATGTGTTCTGGTGACTGAAGATGTCAGAAAGGGCATTCATTCTCCTGGAAATAGGAGTTATAGATGTTTGGGAACCACACTGTAGGTGCTGGGAACTGAACTTGAGTCCTCTGTAAGAACAACATATTGCTCTTAACTGCTTTAGACTGGCTCTCCAGTCTCAGGTTATACTAATTTTTACAATTTATTTTGCACTAACTTCACATAAAAATGAAGTGTGTGTGTGTGTGTGTGTGTGTGTGTGTGTGTGTGTATTGGCAGGATGATACACAATTAATTATAAAGGAAAATACTCACCGTGTAGTATAATGAGGTAACAGATAGTTATCTTTTGTGAGTGGTGCTGGGGATGGAACTCGGGGACTTGTATGCTAGTTCCCTCCTTAAGTACCAAAAATGAAACTCAAATGCCTAGGTTATGACCCAAGTACTTTCAAAGCAAAGTATGGATCTACATCTAGGAGTTGCAGGCAAGGTTAGGAAAGGCATAAGATGAAAATACTGACATGTGTAGTTTGGGGAGATCAGGTAGGAAAAGACACCTCGAGATAAGTCAGGAAGCATTTCCAAGATACTGCAACAGGAAACTTTATGGACATTAAAATTTTATTATTTCTACTCTAAATAATTTCATCTCCATGTTACCATGTTATTGCAAATGATAGGATTTTATTCATATAGGCTATATGTCATTCATTGTCTTAAGTGGGCTCCACAAAGTTATTCTCACTTAAGACAGAGGCTTAGGTAGTTAGGTTGAGGTACAAGGGAAGATGTTGGTGAAAGTGATATATAATCGATGTTAAATAATGGAGAGATAAAACAGTTAAGAAGAATAGGCAAATACAGAGCTAGGAACTATGTTGTTTGCTGGGTGCTCGAATAGGAGCAGTGACAGTGACAGTGACTAGTGTTGCTCAGGAAGGCTCTCTTGTTGTCTCTTAAGTGTTTTAACATGCCGATTGCGATGATTGTCATATAATACTGTGAATATTGCCAGGAAACCATTGCATTGTATAAATCAGGTGGATGTCTGTAGAACTGGATCAAATAAAACAGGTCAAGTAAGAGATCTTTCCAGATGCCATCACTATCCAGGGAGAACTGAATAGAGCATCTGCCTGGCTATTAACACCATGCTCTTTAACAGTAGCATTGCCTGCCTGGCATTATTGTGCTTGTCTTCTTCTGTAAAATTCCCGCTCTGCTTTGAGGTCATAGTTAATGCCAGCCTGGCTGGATGGCATCAATTGAATCCACAACTGCCAATTTGGAGCTGATCGTCTTGTCCTATTAGAAAAGAAGGGAACAAATCTAAGAATTTTATGTGAGAAATAAACATGTGCTTCTTTATATAAACTGACCAAGGGAAGGAAATCTGCCATTAGTGCAAGAACAGTTCTTACAAAAGAAACCAAGGTTGTCCTTAAAGCAACTTCTGTTATCTAGCAAACAGGATATATAATAATCAGTATGCTGACCCCAAAACTCTGAATAGAAGTTGACTTTCCAGCTTCACTCAATGTTCTGTTCACCCAGTTTACAATGATGTCATCATTTGCTTTCTGACCTTCTCCAAGATCTTCCAGAACATTTAAGGGTATATCTAAGAGAATCGCAGAAAAAGTCACAATCTATTCTGTGAAAAAAAAATGCTTGCTTCAAATATGTCTTCCCAGGCAGTGGTGGTGCATGCCGTTAACTCCAGCTCTTGGGAGACAGGCAGGGGATCTCTGTAAGTTCAAGACTAGCCTTGTCTACAATAGCTGGTTCTGGAACAGGATCACAACTGCAAGGAAACTCTAAAAACTAAAAATAAAAAAAGCTAAAAGTCTCATGTACAGTTTTATCACACAGATTTCATGGGGTTGACAAGTGGGGCTCAGTGGGTAAAGTAACTGATGCACATGTTTGACCACTTGAATTTGATTCCCAGATGCTACAATGGATGAAAAAATAACTGGTTCCTAATAGTTTTTCTGACCTTCATCTGAGACAGTGGCATAACCTTCCCATACTCACTCACACATGCACGTCACTTACTATGCTTTGGGTGGTACCTAGGCATGATGAATGCTTTTGGTGGTATTGGTAGAGATATTCATTTTTTGGGTAGGAAGAGTGCAAGGGCCAGAACTCAGAAAGAAGTGCTGGGAAACAGCATCATTTGGCCATGACAGGGCCTGTTAGTTACATGAATTCACAGTGGCTGTGGTTGCCTGCCTGATACCCACACAGGATCATTGGTAACTTATGACAGTTTTATCATGGCTCCTAATAGGGGCACATGTTGCAAATGGATTTTCCCACACTATATGGACAGCATTAATTGGACTCAGTGGGTTATAAAAAAAGCATTGAAGTGGGCAGGTGAAGTGGGGGGGGATGCAGCAGGAGTTGCAGGGGCTACAAGTGGGATTGGATATTATTAAAGTTCATATATACCAATATTAAAAATACATCAAAATAAATTCTTCAATTTCTTAAAAACGTATAAAATTATAGTTATTATGTTTATATGGACACAGATATGCCACAGGACACCTATGGAAGTCTGCAGAACAACTTGAGGAGATGGTTCACCACCTGAGTTTCAGGGACAGAACTCAGGTAGTCAAGCTGGGAACAAAAGTAATTTTAACCATTGAGGCATCCTGTTTATTTTGAATCTCTTCATTTTCAAATGGATATATATATATATATATATATATATATATATATATATATTCTGATATTTTGTTTTGGTTTGTTCCTTTTGGGCAAGATCTTTCTCTATAGTTCAAGATGTCCCTATGTAGCACAAACTACCTTCAAATAGCCAGTCCCCTCCTCAAACTCCTAGGTGCTGAGATTTCTAGTAAAAGTTACCATTCTAACTTTCTGCTGATTTGGGGTCTGGATGGTTTCCATGCATGCTGAGCTGCTGAGCTGAGAGCATCCTGGAGTACTGAGCCAGAGCATCCAAGACTACTAATTGGGCGCAGCCAGTCTGTCAAATGTTGCTCAGTGACACTGCATCAGACTTAAAGCTACATATCAGACTTTATGAAAGATTGGCAACAAATACAGTTCTAACTAATACACAAGGAAGTATCGTTTAGTAATGATCCAACATATAATCATGGAAAACTCATTTCAGAGTCTAAAGTTAATAGCTCCAAAGTATATTTATTGAGACAAATGATTAATTTAAGCCCATGAAAATATACTAAGGGTGAATTCCTAGACCCATATTACTGAGAAACTTCAGTGATCAACACTGTACATAATACCTTCTCATCAGCTGCCAGACTAAAGCCAACGTCAAGGTTGGGTTCCCATCATTCAGGTCTTGTCCTCCAATGCCAACCAGGGAGGAATTTAGCTGGATGCTTCCCTAACTCAACTGCATAGTTGCAGTTTTCTAACTGCAAATGTACAAAAGTAAATGAATGGTTAGAATTTGTCATTTGTTCAATATACATGGGCCACACACACGCACACATGTGTTTTGTAATGGTAAGGTGTCTGCCCAAAACCAAGAGGTAGTTCCTATCCCTCAAAAAGCAGCCTAGGG